CCCCCCCCCCAATCCTGGAGGCACCAGGCTGCAGCGGACGAGGCTCAGGGTGCTCCCCCCCTCCAAGCACCACCAGTTCCCCATGAGGCCCCCACGTTCCTGCAGGCTCCAACTCTGCCCCCCCGTCATCCCCCCAGCCAGGGCCACGCCAACGCACCCCACGAGGACAAAGGCTTTGACGCGCTGCTCGGGGGTGACGCGGGGCGCGTACTTCTTGGCCTCGTAGCGATTATGGTGCTTCACCGAGATCTCCACAAAGGGCTGGAGAGGAGAGGGGAGGGCAGGGCAGGGGGGTGCTGGCTCCCAGCCCCCAGCTTCAGCTTTTGCCCCACATCAACCTGTGTGGGCTGCTCCAGGCAGGGCCCAGGGCCTGGCCCAGCCCCACAGTCCCACCCTGGGGCAGGGCTGGCCCCCTCCTCCAGCCAGGAAAGCTCTTACCAGGTACCCGATGGGCGATTTTTTGCTCTTGGAGAACTTCTCCAGCTCCTCCCAGTCCCCGCGGTTGGCCAGGGCGCTGATCTTCAGCCACCAGTACCTGAGGGACACAGGCCAAGCTGGCAGCGCCTGCAGCCCCCCAAGCCCAGCTCCTGGAAGCTCTAAGAGATGAATCCTGTGTGGTTTGTAACTGATAGCCACTGTGTGAGCAGGGGTTGTGCTGGGTTACAACAAACCACCTGTGCTGATGTGTTCAAGTATTGCGGCCTGACCAGGCCCTGAGCTGGAGCTGCTGACTTAGGACGTGATCATTAGCAAAATATGTATGCTCGTTAATGAAAGATGTAACTTAGCTATCATATACTCATTACTGATGATGAATGTCACGAAAACATGTTTATCCTGAATGTATTTTTATCCTTCTTTGTGTAACAAGGCCACGGAGCCAGCTGCCCGGCTGTGGCCTTGTTCTGAAAAGAACATCAATAAATTAGATAAAGCAGGGAAACTCCCTTGGCTTCCTCCTTGCGCCCAGGCCAGGCTCTGGGGGAATCTAATGTGAGAGTGAAACCAGGTATTTCTGCTTAAAACAAAGGTGCCAGCTCTTGTGGCTTGCTGATTTTTGGGAGTATATGGGTGGACCCGCTCGCAGCAGCTCTGGGTGCCTCAGCTATGGGTGCGCCCACCCTGCAGGACTCCCCCCCCTGCTGGGAAAGGCTCAACAAATCCTCGCTGCCACTGGGGCTCCCCAGCCTCTGCAGATCTGGATGGTGGCAACAGATGCAAGTGGTGATGGATTTTTCTTAATCACTATTATCTCTCTCTGGTAGTCATGATTTGATGCATTACCCTGTATTTTCCTATTTGTTTGCTTTAAGCGCATTATTCTCTCTCGTCTTACTGCGTGTTTTCTGTTACATTATTCAGCTATCCCCAGTTAAACACACCTACTCTTTTCACTCTGGCATCTGAGTTTAATTAGCATCCTTAATCAGCAAAACGCTCCTGCACAGGGTGACCCCCAGGGCTGCCCAGAGGACACCCCCTGCCCCAGGACCCACCTCTTGTCAGGGATCTTGAACTCCCGGTAGAGCTGCTCGGCTCGCTTGTGGTGGCCGTCCAAGATGAGGTTGGAGACGGTGTCATGCAGCGAGAGGTCGAGGTAGGGCTTGTCAAAGTCCTCCTGGAGGTGCCTCTGGAGCCGCAGGAGCTTGATCTGATCCTCCGTGGCCTGGGGAGCAAAGCGCCAGCTTAAAGCTCCCCCCGCCCCAGCCTGGCCCGCTGAGCAGCGCGGGGGCCTGCGGGGTCACGTGTCAGAGCCCTCGCGTTCTCTTCTCTAAATTTCCCTTCTCCCCTTTCTCTCACCCATCGCCTCACGGGCAGCACAATAAAGTTTCACTGTTTGATTCCATCCCCTTTGGTGTCGGTCGCCTTAAATTTGCCCTTTCAGGATCGTGGTGACGGAACCGCCCCGATTCCACCGAGCGGGCCGTGACCCCACGCCAAGGGGAGGGCCCCCCCGAAGCCCTGCGGCGCCTCCCTGGGCCCGACTGTGCTCACCTTGGCAGCAAACTCGTTCTTGGCTTTGTAGTACTCGTCCAGGGCATTCTGCAGAGCTCCGACTCGCCCTTCGATGCGCTGAGGACAGAGAGCGGCCACTTCACCCCCCTGCCAGCACCGCTGCCAGGCTGCAGGGACGGGGCAGCCCCCTCAGAGCCCCCAGCTGGGGCGGGGGGGCAGGTCTGGTGCCGAGACATGGCCAAGGCGAAGCTCCGGCTCTGCGATGGTTTGTCCCATCCACAGGGAGGGTCAGAGGGCTCGGCAGGGCCCAGCCCTGGGGGGGATCCTGACCCGGGGCTGGGGGGCTGCTGGGACAAAGCCCTGAGGGGACGATGGCCCCGGGGTATGAGTTAGGGAGCCCACCACGGGGCACGAAACTCCCCCTGCCCCTTCCTCAGCTCCCCAGGTGAGGAGAAGCCAGCC